ACCTTTCTGTTTTTCTCGACACTAGATGTCAAGAAAATGTTTTTCTTGACATTAGAGGTCATTTAGGACTCCACTTACATGACTGTTCTGTTGTTTCTCTTAGAGATCTCCTTCTCTGTATCTGTTTCTCTATTAAAAGATGGAGAAATAAAAACAGGGAAGACTACGGGTATTAAGAGGATATTTTTCTTTGTAGAAGGATAATATATTATGTTTTGAATATGTATATAGTACCTCCTTAGCTTCACTCAGTGTAAGTGTTGCTTGACCCCTATATTGGTAGAAAAAATTAAACAAAAATGATACAGTCATAGATGTAGAGCTAACTAATAAGCTGGAGGGGGCAGGGGTGGTGTCTGGGCATCTGAGTTGGTAAGGTCCCAGGAAGGCTCCCTTAGGGGAGCAAAAGCCAAGAAGTAGCTATGTGATTATGCAATATCAGACCCCTTAAGAACTTCTCAGTATATATCCCAGATAACACACAGCACCCTTTTGCACACCCCAGTGTGACTTGCTTGTTTACAGTCTTCTCTACCAGAATGTTAACTGCCTAAGGGCAGAAATTAGTATTTTACGCTCCTTTGTGTCTCTGTAGTTTAGTAAGTGTCTGACATGTTTTATGTATTCAATAACTCTAAAATTACTGTAAAAGTAATGTACTATTTTCCTTCTTTAAGACCATTACATATAAAACTAACATCACTTTTGGGGCACGTGGGTGGCTCAGTCGGTCAAGCGTCCGACTTCGGCTCAGGTCATGATCTCGCGGTTCGTGGGTTAGAGCCCTGCGTCAGGCTCTGTGCTGACAGCTTGGAGCCTGGAACCTTTTTCGGATTCTGTGTCTCCCTCTCTCTCTGCCCCTCCCCTGCTCGCACTCTGTCTCTCTCTCCCTCAAAACAAATAAACACTAAAAAAAAAATTTTTTTTAAAGTAACATCCCTTTGACCAACTTCCCCTAATCTTTTTTCTCTTCTCTCCATGTCCCACGTGATCATGTGTCCTTCTCAAACCCAGTAAAACACCTTGCAGTATGCACATAAATCCATGAACAATATGGTGTTTGTTTTAGTTTACATATGTGATATAAACATTTATATCACTTTATAACTTGTTTTCAGATCCCATTAGAGATCTATCCCAATTGATATATTTACAGATAGAGCTCAGTCCTTAATTTTGTCTGCTTTTATAGTACCTCACTGTATGAATCACTAGATCAGGTTTCTCTTCCTTCCCCCCCCTCTCTTGGTAGATAATCTTTGGTATATCATGTTTTATTTATTCACTACACCACTGAAGGACATTTAGCTTGTCTTTGATTTTTCACGATTCTAATTATTCACTAATAACAGTATCCATATCAAAATTCCATGTGCTTACATAGGACAAAGCTATGTCATCACTGTATAATTAGGCTACAGGAATGCACACACACATAAAAGTCTGACAAAATAGTTTCATCACCAAGAAATGCAACTGGAAAAAACCAAATGAGCTGCAAAAAATACATGATTGCCTCTGGAAACAAGCTATATATAGAGCAAGGTTAGGTTTTCCTAGCTACAGTTTCAAATAACAGGGAGAGGGGATCAGCAGCTTAGTCCAATTTAGCAAAATTGGAATTGGTGAGTGCAAGTGAAATACTAACTCTGATACATAATAGTGCAACCAACACAGTGTACTCATTCAAGATAAAAGATCCATTATAAACTAATGGGTCAAAACCAATAAGGAAGACTTCTGAGGAACCTGGTTATTCAATATGGGTAATGTATGTCAGAATTTAATTTTTCCATTTATGGTCATCAAAGAGACCCCAAATGGAAAAGAGATCATCCTCTATTACTTTATGTTAATTTTGGGAAAATTTAAAAATCAAACAGAAATTGATGCTTGGGTTTATTCCAAGGTTAGGTCTAAAATGCTGTAACACAGCAACTCTTTGTTAAAAAAATGCAGATGAACTATTGGGACCTCATCAAGATAAAAAGCTCTGCACAGCAAAGGAATCAGTCAACAAAACTAAAAGGTGATTCCATTCCAGTGGAATGGGAGAAGATACCTGCAAATGACATATTGGATAAAGGGTTAGTATCCAAAATCTATAAAGAACTTACCAAACTCAATACCCAAAAAACAAGTAACCCAGTGAAGAGATGGGCAGAAGGCATGAATAGATACTTTTCCAAAGAAGACATCTAGATGGCTGACAGACACATGAAAAGATGCTCAACATCACTCATCATCAGGGAAATACAAATCAAAACCACAGTGAGTTATCACCTCATACCTGTCAGAATGGCTAAAGTTAACAACTCAGGAAACAAAAGGTGTTGGCGAGGGTGCAGAGAAAGGAACTCTCTTGCACTGCTGGTGGGAATGCAAACTGGCACAGCCACTCTGGAGAACAGTAGGGAGGTTCCTCAAGAAGCTAAAAATAGGACTATGATCCAGCAATTGTACTATTAGGTATTTATCCAAAGGATATAAAAATGCTGATTCGAAGGGGCACATGTACCCCAACTGGTGTGTGTGTATACATACACACACATACATGTATAATGGAATATTACTTGGCAATTGAAAAGAATGAAATCTTGCCATCTCCAACAATGTGGATGGAACTGGAGGGTATTATGCTAAATGAATTAAGTCATTTAGGAAAGACCAATATCATATGATTTCACTCATGTGGAACTTGAGAAACAAAGCAGATGCACATAGGGGAAGGGAAGGAAAATAAGATAAAACAGAGAGGGGGGGCGCCTGGGTGGCTCAGTCGGTTGGGTGTCCGACTTCGGCTCAGGTCATGATCTCACAGTCTGTGAGTTCAACCCCTGCGTTGGGCTCTGTGCTGACAGCTCAGAGCCTGGAGCCTGCTTCGGATTCTGTGTCTCCCTCTCTCTCTGCTCCTCCCCTGCTCATGCTCTCTCTCTGTCTCAAAAATAAATAAAAACATTAAAAAAACCAAAAAAACAAAAAAACAGAGAGGGAGGCAAACCACAATAGACTCTTTTTTTTTTTAAATTTTTTTAACGTTTATTTATTTTTCTGGGACAGAGAGAGACAGAGCATGAACGGGGGAGGGGCAGAGAGAGAGGGAGACACAGAATCAGAAACAGGCTCCAGGCTCTGAGCCATCAGCCCACAGCCCGACGCGGGGCTCGAACTCACGGACCGCGAGATCGTGACCTGGCTGAAGTCGGACGCTTAACCGACTGCGCCACCCAGGCGCCCCAATAGACTCTTAAATACAGAAAACAAACTGAGGGTTGCTGGAGGAAAGATGGGCTGGATGATGGGCTAAATGGGTGGTGGGTACTAAGGAGGGCACTTGATGGGATAAGCACTGGGTGTTATATGTAAGTGATGAATCATTGGGTTCTACTCCTGAAACCAATGCTACACTATATGTTAACTAACTTGAATTTAAATAAATTAAAAAAAAAAGGAAAAAAATATGCAGAAATAGCAAAGGCGCAGTAGAAATTTTCAAAGTGTTTGATGATAACAAATCATTGTTTTATTATTATTGAAATAATTTCACAAATTAACTCTTTTTGAAGAGACTGGCAATGTAGCTGCCCCACAATGAGATTATATAAAACACAGATATTACAATTTGCAGCTTTCTAACTCCTTGCTTTACAAATAAATTAAAGAACTCAGAAAGGAAGAGAAAAGGGTCCTAAAATTAAAAATAAAATCACTGGGTTCTACTGAACAATTGTAGTCAGAGATGACACAAAGAGTAAAATGAAAAAGAATTCTGGGGCGCCTTTGCGGTTCAGTCAGTTAAGCATCCGACTCTTGATTTCAGCTAAGGTCATGATCTCACAGTCCCTGAGATTGAGCCCCACATCGGGCTCTGTGCTGATGGTGCAGAGCCTGCTTGGGATTCTCTCTCCCTCTCTCTCTGCCCCTCCCCTGCTCGTGCTGTCCCTCTCAAAATAAATGAACATTAAAAAAAATTCTCATAGACAATGCGTATGAAAGTGTACAGCAGGATACACACATACTTTTGATTTACGTTACAAAGCACAGTAAAGTTGTGAACATCTGGGAGCCAACCATGCAACCTCATCACTAGACAATCCCAAGGAATCATGTCTTCCCTTATGTTCTTCTCTATTCTATCCCCTTGCCTCATCTCCCCAAATCCCCACCCCCAAGAAGTAATCATTGTCTCTTTTGTACCATTGATATGAAGGAACTACTAGAAACATTTTTAAGAGTGAAAGTAGTGCAAACTCATCTTGAGTAGAAAAACAAATTTGTATCTATCTACTACTCATATCAGGGACAACATGCAGCATCCCTATTACTATGAAATCTTACATCAGCACCATTTCTATTAAAAATGAGTTATATTACTCTTTTTTAAAAAAATTGTTTTTAACGTTTATTCATTTTTGAGGGATAGAGTGTGAGCAGGGAGGGGCAGAGAGAGAGGGAGACACAGAATCCGAAGCAGGCTCCAGGCTCTGAGCAGTCAGCACAGAGCCTGATGCAGGGTGTGAGCCCACGAACGGGGAGATCATGACCTGAGCTGAAGTCGGACACTTAACTGACTGAGCCACCTAGGCACCCGAGTTACATTACTCTCTTATGTCTTCTCACAATTGATTTTTATGTGACCTCACTTTCAATTATCCTATTAAGGGCTGATAAAAATAAGCCTAATTTTTTTAACTTCTTAAAATAAAGATAGTTAAGCATATCACTTCTATTAGATAATAGCTCAAGAAAAGATTAAAACGCTTAACAGGGGGCCTGGCTCAGTTGGTTAAGTGATCGACTCTTGATTTCAGTTCAGGCCATGATCTCATGGTTTGTGGGATCAAGCCCCAAGTCTAGCTCAGCACTAACAGCATGGAGCCTGCTTGGGATTCTCTCTCTCCCTCCCTCTCTGCCCCTTCCCCAGTCGTTCTCTCTCTCTCTCTCTCTCAAAATAAATTAATAAACTTGAAAAAAAGATTAAATACTTATAGGCAACTTACCTCATGTAAATTCAGTTCTTTTACTTTCTCTTTTAATATAACCTGTAAGACATAAAAGTATGTCATACTCATTTAAATGTGTAATTAAAAAATCTCATTATACTCACACATATTTTTCTATTGTATATGTTACTCATTTCCCCTCTTATTCAATATTAAAGAAAATCTCTTTTATAGCTTGAGACAGAACATTTTTTTAGCAACATTCTTTCTTTGAAAAAAAAAATTTTTTTTAATGTCTATTTTTGAAGGAGGGAGGGAGGGAGAGAGAGAGAGAGAGAGAGAGAGAGAGAGAGAGAGAGACCACAAGCGGGGGAGGGGCAGCTAGTGAGGGAGACACAGAATCTGAAATGGGCTCCAGGCTCTGAGCTGTCAGCACAGAGCCCAACACAGGGCTCAAACTCATGAACTGTGAGATCATGACCTGAGCTGAAGTCAGATGCTTAACCAACTGAGCCAGCCAGGTGCCCCAGCAACATTTTTTCAACTTGAGCAATGATGCAATGTTCTCCCAAAAAGCAATTTTAAATCCCTTTGGGTATAGATTAACTTTTAGGAAAAGATATTAATACATTCTCATCTGGACTAAGTGCTAACCCAGGAGGAAAATAAATGAGGTCGACTCTCATGATTCAGTAAAACACAGTATTGGCTGACGGGAAGTGAACGATTACTAATATATAAAAGATTAAAAAATAAGGTCAATCTTAATTTTAGAAGTTTTGCTTATTATTTTGCATTACTATCCCCAGGAAATTTTAGCTCTACCCAGAGTTATGTAAATGAACTTAAAATTCATCCAGTCCCTAACCTGACTCTGTGGTGACTGGATACCAAAAAAAAATGCCAAGTGATAAGAGGATGGATTATTATTTAAAAAGAAAGTTTCTGAGAATAAACAGCTTATTAGAACTACATGCCATCTTAAAGTGAAAAAACAGGCAAGTGAAACTTGGAGAAAATCTCCCAATTTTGAGTATCTTATATTCCTGAACCAAAAATGGTTTTCAGGGCATATTACATTTTCAGAAATCAAAAGCTACCATCCGACTACACAGGGATGTACTAAATTTCCAACTCAGTAGATTTTAAAGACCATTTTACTTTCTGTCTTCTTACTGTATTAATTCTATCAGTCAATTTCACTTCTTGAATAAACCATCAAGGCCAATTTTACTTTCTACTTAGCTTACATACAAATCTTATAGGCTGTCAAGTTTACGATAATGTTGAGACAACAGGATTCATTCATTTAGAAAAACTAAAACATTCAACTCTGTGTATAAATCCCACATGAGACCTATGGGAAAGAGCGTGCGGTTACCTATGAACATCAGTGTATACATCTAAGGAACTTGACAAGGAGCTCAGATTTCAAAAAGACACGAACAAAAGATGTATAAAAAAAGATACGTAATCCCAAAACAGTGACATGGTCCTGTAGTGTCAGTGTCAGTTAAAGGCCCAAATAAGCTAAAGCTTGCCCCACAACCCTTCAAAAAAAAAACCAACAACAAAACCCAACGAAAAAACTAAAAAAAAAAAAAAAAAAAAAAAAAGCAAACAAAATCTAAAAAACAGAAAGCAAAAAACTAAAGATAACAAAAATAATTTCATACTTTTGACCAAAACAAAATTAAGGAACACCCAGACCCACTGTTTGGAGTAAAATGTTAATGGATGACACATGGAAGAAAAAACAAATTATACTTGGCCGTCAAGAAAAGCTAAGTTTATTACCTTAAAAAACAAATCAGTAAAAGGATGATAGTACAAAGGGCTAGGGGTTAACAATAATGACCCAAGTATTTGGATTTCTGGTGGTGTGACATTAATAGAAAGGGGGAGGAGATGAGATCACTATAATACAACTGGTCCCCTCTGCCCCTCTGAGGAGCTGGTGTCTTCTACTGGAAGAGGTGAAAAAAAAAAAATTCATTTCATGGAATCTCTGAATGCCACTAGATTAACCATAGCTTTAAGGATTATAAACCACAGCATCTCCCTTTAGCAAAATGTTGGCTAAACCTCCCTGTTATATTATTATATCATCTGAACTTTCTATAACTTCAAATAATACTTAAAGAAAATACTTAAAGAAGTTGACCTATTTTGTATTACAAACTGGCAAGTGAAATGCTAAAATGAACACAAGTAAATTCAGCCCCAGATTAAAATATGAGTGGAAATCTAAATTCTCATTTTTTGGCAAAAAAACAAAACAAACAAAAAACAACCAAAAAAACAAAACAAAAAACATAAAGACCAAGCCAATCTGAAGTAAATTTCTCACCTGTTTGTAGGCATAAAATTCTTTGTGTGCTTGATGTCTTAGCCTAAAAGACAGAATATGAGTAATGTGATATTGAGGTTTCCAATGTAACAATTTGATAAAAATCTTAAACAGATTTTTGATATTAATTTATATCATTTATTGTTTAAAATCCAAAACCTTTATCCTGAAAAATACCCACATGACCTGTTACCATGTTATGACAATAACCATAAAATATTATCAAAATATTAACTCAAGTGAAATCTCATTAAAATCTTAACACAACAAATATTTTATTTTTTTTTTATTTTAAAAAAAAAATTTTTTTTTTTAACGTTTGTTTTATTTTTGAGACAGAGAGAGACAGAGCATGAACAGGGGAGGGGCAGAGAGAGAGGGAGACACAGAATCTGAAACAGGCTCCAGGCTCTGAGCTGTCAGCACAGAGCCAGACGCGGGGCTCGAACCCACGGACCGTGAGATCATGACCTGAGCTGAAGTCGGACGCTTAACCGACCAAGCCACCCAGGCGCCCCAACACAACAAATATTTTAATGAACAAGCCTCAGTTTATATTGGTGATAGTCCACTGGTTTCAGTAATATTTAATATATTACATTTTTCTTAATTAAAAAAATTAAGTATAACATCCATCTAATAATGTACAAAAACTTTAATACAGTTAAATATGTTAAAATATATATATTTATACAGTGCTGTAACTATCACCCAGATCAAGATATAGAACATTTCCAGGACCCCTGAAATGACTCGTCCCAATCAGTATCTACTCCTAAGAGGTACCCACTATCTTGATTTCTACCATTACAGATTAACTGTGCTTGTTTTGAGCTTCACATAAATGGATCATTTGGTACACTTTTTATGTTGGCTTTCAGCTAACAAATACTTGTGAAATTCATCCACATTGCAGTAAATCTTTCTGACATATAGTGCTCCACTGTGTGAATATAAGACTATCCATTCCACTGTTGATGAATATTTAGGTTACTTCCAGTTTGGGGCTATTATAAAGCTGCTAAACAAATTCTTCTACATGTCTTTTAGCAGACATATAGACTCAATTCTGTTGAGTATATATGTAGGAGTAGAATTGCTAGTCAAAATGCTTATACCAATTTCTACTCCTAGATGTAATGCATGAGAGCTCTAGCTGTTTTAAATTTTTGCCACTACTTGGTAGGGTTGATTAAAAATTTTTTTAGCTGGACTAAAGCCCAGGGCTCTGTCGGTTAAGCATCAGACTTTGGTCAGGTCTTGATCTCATGGTTCGTGGGTTCGAGCCCTTGTGTTGGGCTCTGTGCTGACAGCTCAAAGCCTGGAGCCTGTTTCAGATTCTGTGCCTCCCTCTCTCTCTCTGCCTCCTCCCCATTTGTGCTCTGTCTCCCTCTTAAAAATAAACATTAAAAAAAAATTTAGCCAATCTGATAGGTCTATTCAGTGGTATCTCATTTCAGTTTTAATTTGCATTTCCCAAATGATGTTAAGAACCCTTTTATATGCTTATTGTCCATTTGTATATCTTCCTTTAAAAAATACCTATTTGGGTCTTTAAAAAATGAGTTACCTTTTTCTTATCAATTTTTCTTTACATATATTATGTATATATTAGATATCTAACATATCTAATATATATATGTATACATACATATATTAGATATACTCTGTTGGGTCTATGTACTGCAATTATCTCCTACTCTGTGGCTTGCATTTTCACTCTCTTGATGGGTGTATCTTTTGATGAACAGAAGCTTTTAATTTAAATTAAGTCTAATTTATAAACTCTTCCCAATAATGTCAGTTCTTTTTGTGTCCAGTTAAAGAAATCTCTGTCTACCCCCAGATCATGAAGATATTCTCTTGTGTGTACTGTGAAAACAATGTGTTATTTTACCTATCACATTTAGGTATCCATTTGAAATTACTTACAATCCATCTGAAATTAGTCTTTATATATATGATGTGAGTAGGGGTTAAGATTCTTTTTATCCACATGCAGATTTTCATTTGACTCATTTACTGAAAAGTCCCTATTTCCCTTTTGCATTTCAGTGGCATATCTGTTGGGAGACAGACCCAATATGTGGGTCTGTTTCTAGAGTTTCTATTCTGTTCCACTGGTCTATTTGCCTGTTCTTGTATACTAGGTTGAACAGTGTAAAAAATTCATGTCTGCTGGAACCTCAGAATGTAGCCCTATTTGGAAATAGAGTCTTTGTAGATTATTTAGTTAAAATGAAATCATATTGGGATTAGGGTAGACCCTAAATCCAATACGACTGGTGTCCTTAGAAGAGAAGAGAGACCATACAGAAACACAGGGAAGAAGGCCAGGTAAAGATAGAGACAGACTGAAATGATACAGCTACAAGCCAAAGAACATCAAGGATTTCTGGTAACTACCAGGAACTAGCAGAGGCAAGGAAAGATCCTCTCTTAGAGCCTTCGGAGGGGGCATGGACCTGCTGACACCTTGATTTCAAACTTCTAGCCTTCAGAACTGGATTTAATGTTTATTTATTTTTAAGTCAGAGAGAGCGCAAGCAGGGCAGGGGCAGAGAGAGAGGGAGACACAGAATCCAAAGCAGGCTCCAGACTCTGAGCCGTCAATGCAGAGCTGGACATGGGGCTCGAATCCACAAATCATGGGATGAGATCATGACCTGAGCCGGCCAAAGTTGCATGCTTAACTGAGCCACCCAGGTGCCCCTAGTGGGTTAGGTGTATTAAATGCATTTTTGATTATAATATTCTCAACTTACAGTGGGTTTACTGGGATGTAACCCCACTGTAAGTTGAGGAAGATCTGTACGTGTATATTGTTCTCCAGTTACTTTCATCTCTGTCTTAAAAAGGTATTCTCCTGCTTAAAACTAATAGCAGTATAGGGGTGCTTGGCTGGCTCACTTGGAAGAGTTATGTAACTCTTGATCTCAGGGTCGTGAGTTCTAGCCCCACATTGGATGTAGAGATTACTTAAATAAACTTAAAAAAAAATAACTAATACCACTATAACTTTTAAGTGTGTCTCCTCTCACCTCTATGGTTCATTCCTTCTCACAAATCCTTCACAACTAGCTCACTCTCCTTAATACTATTTATATTATACTGTATTTATTAATATGCCCGAATCTCTTAAGACAAACACCAAAATACTTCCTTGATTCTATAGCAAACTGCACACCTACCCTACCCCAACCTAATCTTTTCTCAGCCAAGATTCTTCAAAGAGGAGGTCATATTTCTTGTATTCATTTTCACCTGCTGGTCAGGCCTTGCCCCATTACAGTCCACCTTTCATCACCCCTGTATCCATGCTACTGAAACTTTTCTAACTAAAATTATAGATGCAAGCTTAATTGTCAAATGTAATGGGAACTTTTGACATAACTGACTTAATCCACTGAAATGCTACTTGTGGGGTTCCTGTCCTATGATTTTTCCTCCTATCTGCTTCTATCCCCTTCTAGTCTCTTCTATGGGATCCTCTTAAATATCAGTGTTTTCCTAGGATTTTGTCCTGGATCCATTTTATTTCTCTATACACATTCTTTCTAGGGGACCCTCCTGGCCTCAGCTTCTACCTATTATTACATGACTCCCTTTTTCTAGACAGATTTCTTATAAGCTTTAGACCTATATATCCAATTGTGTACTAAATATTTTGACTGTTAACACAAAAAACTCAGTCATCCCATGTCTAAAGTGGAATCTATCATCTTTCCACCCCAAACCTGCCTGTTTTCTAGCTCTATAAAGGGACTGCTATCTTCCCAGCTGCCTAAACCAGAAGTCCAGGAACAATTCTGAGCACATCTTTTCTTGTCCATCATTAATATCTGGTCACCAAATTCTGTTCATTTTCACCACCCAAATATTACTCACAACCATCCATAACACCCTATGTAGCTTTACTGTCATTATCTCGGTTTAAGACCTTAAAATTTTTGTTAGATAACTCAAAAGCCCTCCTATAACTTTAGTTTTCAATTTTTTCTTACTTTTAAGTGTTTATTTTTGAGAGAGAGAGAATGAATGAATATGAATGAGACTGAGAATGAGAATAAATGGGGGAGGGGCAGACAGAGAGGGAGCCACAGAATCCAAAGCAGGCTCTGGGTTATCAGCACTGAGACCAATGTGGGACTCAAACCCAGAAACTGTGGGATCATGACCTAAGCTGAAGTCGGATGCTCAACTGACTGAACCACTTAAGACGCCCCAGCTTTGATCATTTTAAAGGAGCTGAATCCATAAATCTCCAGATTAACTTCAAATGACTTGTTAAATCCAAATTTAATATATGAAAGGTTAAAACTAACACTAGGTTCATCAGAAAGGAAAAGCTCCTTACATCATGATTTAATTTTCAAAATGGTACCACTGACTTGTAAATGAAGTTTAGAAATGTTTGAACATTTCTAAAAGACTGGTTTCTCTAATTAGACAAGATAATTTTATTTTAGTATAGCAGATCCCCACTTATTTGCTTTGTTAGATAAATAATAAAAAAGATACAGAAAGGATAAAATGAAGTACAATGGTAATATATGAAGACAACTGTTATCATTTTTTTCCCTTTCTCTACCTATTTGCTTGATTATTCAAAGGAATACAATGAAGTAAAATGGTGTTTCACAACTGATTTCTCAAAAAGCTTACCCAGAATCACAATTGGTATATTAGTGTTTTTCTTAAAACAAGGTTAAAGGCTTAGTTCTTAGACATAGTAATAAAAACTATACTATGAGCTAGCTTGAATATTTTAGAATATTTTACATATATAAAACTCCTTCATTAATGAATCTTTAAAAAATATTTTGTTATATTATTATATTATTTTATCTTTTAAAGTATAATTTGGTTTCAAATATTAAATTCACAAATTTCTTAGTTAAAACCACTATTTATAGCAAAACCAAAAAATTTAGTAGATCTGAGGGAAGAAATAACAACAACAAAAAATCAGCAGTTCTCTGCCATCCTCCCCAAAGATAATCATATTTTAAGGTTATGAGGGCCTGTTTTTGCTATGGCTAATTCCTTCATTCAAAACAAAACAAAAAAAAAGCCAAATATTTACATAACATTTATCAAACTATTATTTAAAAAATGCTAGAAAAAAGAAATTTCTGCAAATAACATTTTTCCTAAATGCTATAATTATATTAGTTAAGTGTTTATTTATTACTCTGAGAAAGACCTAAAAATCCTAAGTAGCCAGCATATCTATGAGAGGTAAGAAGTGATTACATTTTGTGAGAACTTCAAATAAGATTCAATTTCTGTAGGAATGTAGACTTATTTATCAGAATATTGGAAACAATACACTAAATTCATTCAAATTTGACCATCAGTGAGTAGTCACTGGTGGCAACAATTAATTATTGCTTAAAGACATCTGATGAGGGTATGTATCGTAACCATAATCACATTCTGTACAGGCACTAAAAATTGTTAGAGGTATAGGTGTTTAATAAAATCCAACTTTCTACTCTTTTATTCATAAAGCTCTTTGAACAATACAGTATATGAATTTTTACAGTCTTTAAGTTTCAGCTTTGAAAACTAAAAAGAATAAGACGTTTGTTTAAACAATTATGAGTAAGTCAACTGTGAATCTTTACTGGCCAAATCCATTACTCCTTCATGTGAGGTGTTATCCTTTGTCACTTCTCCATACACGTGCTGCAGAGCTTTTGGAATATTTAGTGTTTTATGCAGATAATCAATCACCTGAACACTTGACCAAAGGAACTTAAAATCTTAAGAGACCACAAGAACCTGTTTAAAGGCTTGGACCTTGCCTTGGACATTGTTTTCTAATCCCTAATGACTTTAGCTAACAATGACGCAACACCATCCTTGAAAAGATATCTTGAAATCTTTGTGAATGTAGATTAAATCTTGGGAACAGATAATAAGTGTATCTGGACCAGGTGCTAATATGTTAGAAAAATAAATGGGGACAATTTTCTTCTATAGAGTAAAACACATTCATCAACAAGTAGGATTGAAGACTGTATAAAGGTGTTTTATTCATTAGTAACTAACTCACAGAAGGTTAAAATGTTTAGCAACCTTAATTTTAGAAAATTTGCTAATTATTGCACATATACAATTTTTTAACCTAAGGGCAAAAATATGATTTATAATTGATTAATATATTCTGAAGTAGCACAGAATGAAAACTGATTACCTAATCAAGTAGCAACAGAAGAGTAAACTAAGGATGAAGACAAATATAGCAGTGCCAAAAACCACAATATATATGTTGAGAGGCAGATTCTGGAATCCAATATTAGGCATCCTGAAGTTGTAATGTGGGAAATCCGAGCTCATGGATGAACTGTGGGGGGGGAAGAAAAGAAAGGAAAAAAATTAGGTTATAAAGACTAAGAACCAAGATAGCATTATCTTTGAATGTATATGGAGGCAGTAATTTTCTTAAGATTTGACCCCATTTGAAATAAATATAATAGACAAAGAGTTAATATTCTTGCCATTCATTTATCATGCTATAAATATATTTAGTTTTAAAAATTTGTTTTTTAAAGATCATCAGTTTATTTGAAAGGTGATCACCAGAGGATAGCACTTTAAATTTCCAATATTGATAAATTTTAAATTGTGACAATTTAAAGTTATAAATAAGGTTATTTTCCCTTCCTTTAACACATCATAATAGTTTTAAGGACTACAATGAAACATTTTAGGCTGAAAACTTTCTTAGTATCCTCTTAAAAAGGTTTTGAATTTCTTGTCTAGTTGTGGGTTTTTTTTCCCCCCTTTCTTTTAAATTTAAATTTTAGTTAATATATAGTGCAATACTGGTTTCAGGAGTAGAATTCAGGGATTCATCACTTACATACAACATCACCCAACTAGCCCATCTCCCACTTCCCTCCCTCTGTCAACCCATAGTTTGTTCTTTATCATTAAGAGTCTCTTGTGGTTTGTTTCTCTTCTCTTCCTCCGCTCCTTCCCATATGTTCGTCTGTTTTCTTAAATTCCACATGAGTGAAATGTTATTTCTCTTTCTCTGACTTACTTCATTTAGCATAATACACATCATTGCAAATGGTAAGATTTCATTCTTTTTGATGGCTGAGTATATATATACATACCACATGTATGTATATATCCATTCTTCTTTATCCATTCATCAGTCGATGGACATTTGGGCTCTCTCCATAGTTTGGTTATTGTTGATAATGTTGCTATAAACATTAGGGTGTATGTACCCCTTTGAATCTGTATTTTTGTATCCTTTGGGTAAATACCTAATAGTGCAATTGCTGGATAGTAGGGGAGTTCTACTTTTAGCTTCTTGAGGAACCCCCATAGTGTTCTCCAGAATGGCTGCACCAGTTTGCATTCCCACCAACAGTGCAGGAGAGTTTCCCTTTCTCTGCATCCTCGCCAACACCTGTTATTTTTTGTGTTGTTAATTTTAGCTATTCTGACATGTGTGAGGTGGTACCTCATGATGGTTTTGATTTATATTTCCCTGATGATGAGTGTTATTGGGCATTTTTTCATGTGTCTCAGCCATCTGGATATCTTCTTTGGAAAAGCGTCTATTCATGTCTTCTGCCCATTTCTTAACTGGGTTATTTGTTTTTTGGGTATTGAGTTTGGTAAGTTCTTTATAGATTTTGGATACTAACCATTACCAGATATGCCACTTGCAAATATCCTCTTCCATTCCACAGGCTGCTTTTTGGTCGTGTTGATTGTTTCCCTCACTGTGCAGCTTTTTTTTATCTTGATGAGGTCCCAATAGTTCATGCTTGCTTTTGTTTCCCTTGCCTTTGGTGACAAGTCTAGTAAGAAGTTGCTCTAGACAAGGTCAAAGAGGTTAATGCCTGTGTTCTCCTCTAGGATTTTGATGGTTTCCTGTCTCACATTTAAGTCTTCATCCATTTTGAATTTATTTTTGTGTATAGTGTAAGAAAGTGGTCCAGTTTCATTCTTCTCTATGTTGCTGTCCAGTTTCCCCAACACCATTTGTTGAACAGACTTTTTTCCATTGGATATTATTTCCTGCTTTGTCAAGGATTAGTTGACCAGAGAGTTGTGGGTATGCCACAAATATTTATTGAGTACTTACTATGTACTTGACACTACTCTAGAAACTTGAGACCCTACCTAAAACACCTTTACAAGTTACATTCATTCATGAAAAGGTACTTCACTGAAGTAATGCCAGGAATCAATAGACATATGAAAAAGTTCAACCTCAAAGTACAAACTGTGCCCCACCCCACCAAAACAAAAATAGAACAAGTCTTAAGATCTTAAAAACTTTGTAACCTTTAAAGTAAGGAACATTAATAATGGTAAAATATTGGAAATAACTTAGATATCTCACAAGGAGGTAATGATTAAATAATTTTGTTAAGTCATGTTACAGTATTATGAGGTCATAAAAATCTGTTTCGGTAAATTTTAATGTCAAGGGAAATATAAGGTTATGTGGGAAAAATTAAGCAGGATATAGATTGTATATTAAACATGATCCCATGGGGCACCTGAGTGGCTCAGTCGGTTGAGCATCCAATTTCAGCTTAGGTCATGATCACACAGTTTGTGGGTTCAAGCCCTGTGTCGGGCTCTGTGCTGACAGCTCAGAGCCTGGAGTCTGCTTTGGATTCTGTGTCTCCCTCTCTCTTTTCCCCTCCCCTGCTTGCAACTTTGTCTCTCTCTCTCAAAAATAAACAAACATTAAAAAATATTTTAAAAAATGATCCCAATTTTGGAAAAGGTTAAAAAAAAGGATATATATGTACACCTATATGGGTAGTACACACTGGTATGTATGTGTGCGTGTATGGCAGAAAAAAGCCTGAGAGCTAATATGTCAAAATGTTAACGGTGGCTTGTGGTTTATTTTTTTTTTTAATTTTTTAATGTTTCATTTATTTTTGAGAGAGAGAGAGAGAGAGAGACAGAGTGTGAATAGGGGAGGGACAGAGAGAAAGGGAGACACAGAATCTGAAGCAGGCTCCAGGTTCTGAGCAGTCAGCACAGAGCCTGACGCGGGGCTCAAACCCACAAACCGCGAGATCATGACCTGAGCCGAAGTTGGACACTTACCCAACTGAGCCACCCAGTCGCCCCCATTTTGATTTTCTTCTTTTTTAAACTCCCTTTATTAAGTCAGGCCTTGTTCTGAGCATTTTAATGACTTTATTTTATCTCCACATAAAACTTCTATGTAGGTAGGTACCATAATATCTCCGATTTTATAGATGAGGAAACCAAAGATAAGAGAGTTTTGGTCACATAGTCATGACTGACCAAGTATGTACAGGAGCCAGGGCTTCTCCACCTCCAAAGCCAGTGTGCCCTCACCCTATATGTTCTACAATCTTTTTCTTGTGTTGTTCTTATAATCAGAAAATAGCAAATATTGTTTAAACCTTCAAAAGGGGGATATTTCTGTCCATTTGTTTGGTAATACCGATCTCACCACATAGTTCAAAACCCAAGAATGGAGGCTGCCCCCTTCATTAGATGATGAGCTACACTAATAAAGTGGCTCATCACACCTTCTCACTAGAACTTTTCTTGTCATTTGGATCCATTGCTAAATGGTCAAAATGAAGACCAACTGCCAGGCTTGATTATCAAGACCACATATTGATAACTGAATTATAACAATCACTACTGCCAAAATCAAAACAAAAGTAAACAAAAACCCACCAAACAAAACATTTCAACTTTTATTTATATAAGGTAAATTAAAAATATGTTTACCGATTTTTAATGTCTTTCTTGGTTCCCAGAAGGGTATACTTAAATTGCAGATACTACTGAGATATTGACTGGCTGTATCTAAAATCTAATGTCTTATTATTACTTTAATTTCCAGCTTCTTTTTTTTTTTTTTAATTTTTTTTTTCCAACGTTTATTTATTTTTGGGACAGAGAGAGACAGAGCATGAACGGGGGAGGGGCAGAGAGAGAGGGAGGCACAGAATCGGAAACAGGCTCCAGGCCCTGAGCCATCAGCCCAGAGCCCGACGCGGGGCTCGAACTCACGGACCGCGAGATCGTGACCTGGCTGAAGTCGGACGCTTAACCGACTGTGCCACCCAGGCGCCCCTTTAATTTCCAGCTTCTAATAACTTATACCAGGAAGTCAACAGCACAAAGAACAACTTCATCCCATGGAAACTCTTCTCTGAGAACTTCCAAACATAAATAATGGTTAATATTTAGTTTTGAACTTTCAGCCATTTTCTGCAAGTGCTTTTTTACTCAGATACATAATTTCCTTTTTCCTATACTCAGATCATCTTGGAAGGGAAGGAAAGAATTAAGGACAACTTTACTAAATATATCTAGCACATACATTATAGAGTTGTAAGAAAAGTACAGCTGCTCAAAACTTCACCCTTAATCTCCACATTGCTGACAGGGCCTCACCTGATGACCCTTGCTACAGTCAAGACTTTGATGATGTCCTTCAATCCCTTAGAAATATCCCTCACCAGACACATTGGGCTTGGTAAAAGAACTCTCACTTTAGGAAACAAGAGATTAAACATCCATGCTAGAAGGGCTAACAGAGAGGAAATAGGCAAAAAGAAAGTGGTGTGGTAGAAAAAAGGACAGGTTAATAGTCAGCAACTTCGGATGTTGCTCCCAGGATAATACTAGCTAGATGTCAGCATTTGGCCCATCTATACCTTAATTATCTCATCTTCAAATGGAGTAATGCCTATGCTACCAACTTCATTGGATTCCTGGAAGGATAAAATGAGACCACAGATACTGAAGTGTCTGAGAACTCTAAGAGTCATGACCAAATACTAAAGTTTTAGTGTGTGTGTGTGTGTGTGTGTGTGTGTGTGTGTGTGTGCGCGTGCGTGCGTGTGCGTGCATTTGGCAGGGACTGGAGGAGGGGTGACAATAAATAAAAGAACATAAAAGAAGCTCTGACAAAAATCAAGTCTCTGGAGAGGATTTCACCAAACCAAGCACTCCTTTCTCAGGGAGCTCCTCTGCACACACTGTCAAGCTTTGTGTCAAGTGGCCTGCCAATCCAGTCCCCAGTGGTAGGAACTGGAAACTTATCCTTTCTAAAGGAAGCCATCAATATAGGCCAGCAGGGCATGTGTCAGTGGTGTTGAGAACACTGCCCTGCAGGAGTCCTTGCACTGGGTGGCAACACCAACAAAGTCTTGAGGAATTTTGAACAGGTACACAGATATGCAGACTGAGAGGTAGCGCTGCCATTAGAGGGGAAAGACATCTACCTCGGTGCTCCTGAGAGCTGGCTGGCTGCTGAGACTTTCCTAGGAGTTCTCCCTTCTTAGCAAGGCCTTACAACCTATTACCAGAGGGGTGAGGTTGGCAGGGGATATGCTGATGCTGAACACATTTTAGGAATTTTCTCCTTTTCCTTTGATGAATGAAATTGCTTAGCTACAATTGATATGTTGGCCCAACAGCTAAGTAGAGGGTGTATTATTCCAAGATGCTAATCCTGGTGTAGTGACACATTAGTTTTAGAATATTTTCATCATAATATCTTTTCAGTATGAGTGTTAATAACCCTTTAAAATGTCATCTTTAAAAAGAGAGCCACTATTCATCATCCTAGTAATAAGCATACTTTGCTACTGAGGTATCACAAATGTAAAAGTTACTTAGGAACTGCTCCTTGTGAGGAGAAACAGAACATACAATATGCTACTGGATTTTACTTGCCATTTCTGACTTAATTCACGTGAAAATCTTTTCCCTCCTTATGAAATTCACAGTTGCTGAAATCTGTAGTTTCAGCCTAAATTTCAAACCATCTATCTAATTAGGTTATTTATAAAAAGAAAGAAAATGAAAAACACAGAAGATCTGAGTATTTTATGAGCAATGGGATTTCCCACCAAAATACAAGAGATATGGTTCCACAGGGGACCTGAGTTGAACACAATGCACCACAGCTAGACAGGCTACAGTAGCGTTCTTGAAGTGTGTTTGGTAGCCACATACTTCCTAGGCCAGTTCCTGTTCCCTGGACAATACCACATCATCATCTTCCCAGTTGTTAGTATTCTACTTTAGCTTCAAAAATGCTCAGATAGGGGCGCCTGGGTGGCTTGGTCGGTTAAGCGTCCGACTTCGGCTCAGGTCATGATCTCACGGTCCGTGGGTTTGAGCCCCGCGTCGGGCTCTGTGCTGACAGCTCAGAGCCTGGAGCCTGTTTCAGATTCTGTGTCTCCCTCTCTCTGTGACCTCCCCCGTTCATGCTCTGTCTCTGTCTCAAAAATAAATAAACGTTAAAAAAAAAATTAAAAAAAAAAATGCTCAGATAGACAGACACCAATAATCAGACTACTGTATTTTATAATTTATGGTTCACAAACCATTAAAAAAAATCCTATACTTGTTTCTTATAATACAAAAGCCCAAGAAAAACTTAAGAACAATTATTTTGGGTTTTTAAAATCTTTTGTTTTTTTGGAAACATGAGATTTTTAATTTACATTAAACAAATGCACCCATGTTGTATGTACCGGTCAGAGTCTGGACAAACGAATACACCCATGTTACCACAACCCTAATCAAGGTACAGAACACTTCCATTTACCCAGAAAGTTCCCTTGTACCCCTTTGCAGTTAATCACCACTCCCACTGATCTGATTTCTATCATTACCGATTAATTTTCCTTATTCTAGAATTTCACAGTCAAATGGAATCACACAGGATGTAGTCTTTCGTGTTCAGCTTCTAGTCATCAGCAGGTCCTTGAAAGACTCTGAATAGTTACAGAAAACACTTCACATTATATTCCCAGTTTGCTCTAATTATCACATTATCTCCAGTTATCGTCTCTTAAAGATTACTGACTTCATCTTTTGAAAATATCAATTTTATGGTTAATCCTTTGACATTTCTTTCTATACAGAATTCCTGGTTATCTTTTTTAGTTGTGTTACTGATTTCATGGAAGAAATTTTCACTATGTCCTTTATATAGGTGTTCCTTTCCATTTTTTAAGTCCTTCTTCAGTGGAGCACTTTCTTTTTTCCTATTGTTTTTTAGGTCTTCAACAGAAGAAACATACAATTCACTTGCCATGTTTTGTCCCAATCAAATTCTACAAGAAAATAAGAACTCTGAGGTGCTCATGAGTGAAGCAGTCAAGCCCCTTCTATGGTGAGGCATCTGCTGATATGGACAAGTCTCTAGTAGCTAAGAGAACAGAAGTGCTAGCTACAGCTTAGTCCAGTGGGCTCCCTCATTAAGCTAGGAGGGAATACAAAGGATGTGGATACGCATAGAATTCTTTCTTTTACTGATGTTGTTCTCTAATAAAAGGTGATTTTCACCTTTTATTTTCATAGAATCATGAAAAAACCTTCAAGTCTATGGTCCTATACAACTGTTGGTGGGCAACATGTATGGCTAATGCACACATAACATGATCGACACCCAGGACTGCCTAAACATTTTTGTGCACTTCTGCCCCAGCACTATTTCTTGAAAAGATAACCCCTGCCCCATTGAATTGCCTTGGGACCTTAACAGAAAATCAGTTGACCATAAATATGTAAAGATTTATTTCTGGGCTCTGAATTACTTCATTGATCTGTATGTCTTTCTTTATTCCAATTTCACACAGTCTTGACTACCATAACTTTGTGGTAAGTTTTGAAATAAAAAAGTGTTAAGTCCTCCAACTTTGATGTTTTTCAATATTGTTTTGACTATTTTGGTTCTTTGTTATTACAAATAAAATTTAGGATCAGCTTGTTAATTTCTGCAAAAAAGCCAGCTGAGATTTTGAAGGAGACTGCTTTAAATCTATAAATTTGGGAAGAACTGCCATGTCAATAATATTGTCTTCAAATGCATGAACATGGAATTTCTCTCATTTAGATGGTCTTTCATTTCTTTCAGATATGTTTTGTAGTTTTCAGTGTATTAGTCTTGCACTTCTTTTGTCAAATTTATTCCTAAGTGTTTTATCCTTTTTAATGCTACTGTGGATGCAATTTTTTTTTTAATTTGTTTTGGGTTGTCCAATGTTTATATATAGAAATAAACTGATTTTCTCTATAATGATCTTATATCCTGTGACCTTACTGAACTCATTTGTTTTTTTTATTCCTTTGCATTCCCTAAATGCAGGATGATCACTTCATCTGTGAATAAAGACAGCTTTCTATCTTCTTTTCTAATCTGATTGTATTTCATTTTTCTTTCCTGAATTAATTGGCTAGAACCTCCAGTACACTGTTGAAAAGAAGTAGTGAATGCAGACATCTTTTCTTTGTTTCCAATCTTAGAGGAAAAGCATTTAGTATTTTATTATTAATTATGATGTTAGGATTTTATGTAGAAATTTTATATGCAAATTTCTTTTATTCCTAATTTGCTGAGAGTATTTAATCATAACAGTCTATTATATTGATTGTTTTCTGGTGTTAAATTAATCTTGCATTTCTGGTGTAAATCTCACTTAGTCACAATCATTTTTATATATTCTGGGAATCAGCTTTGTGGAGGATTTATGAAGCTACAGTCATAAAAGATATTGGTCTATAGTTTTCTTTTTTTTTTTTTATAAAGTTTATTTATTTTGAGAGAGTGAGTGAGTGAGTGAGCAGGGGAGGAGCAGAGAGAGGGAGAGAGAGAGAATTTTAGGCAGGCTCCATGCTGTCAGCACAGAGCCTGATGTGGGGCTCTAACTCACGAACTGTAAGATCATGAACTGAGCCAAAACCGAGTTGGACCTTTAACCAATGGAGCCACCTACAGGTGCCCCTGTAGTTTTCTTTTCTTGTGATTTTTTTTTTTTTTTTTTTGGCTTTGGTATCAGGCCAATACCCAGGATACCAAGGTATCATGGTAAGATAACATACTAGTCTCAAAATGAGTTGTGAAGTGCCCCAGTTCCTCTATTTTCTGAAAGAGTTCATGAAAAATTGGTATTATTTCTTCTTTAAATGTTTAGTAAAATTCAGTGAGCCTATCTGGGTTTGGGTTTTTCTTTGTGGGAAGACTTCATAAATTATTCAATTTGTTTAGTGTTCTAGGTCTATTCAGATTTTTTATTTCTTGAGTCAGTTCAGTGATTTGGATCTAAGAATATGCCCATTTCATCTGCATTTTAACATTCATCGTTCATGGTATCCCTTTATAATTCTTTTAATTTTTCTCAGATTTGGTAGTGTGTATCCTCTTTCATTCGGGATTTTAGTAAGTTGTATCTTCCTTTTTACTTGATCAGTTTAGCTCAGAGGTTGGTAAACTAAGGCACATGGCTTATTTTCACATAGTCTATAAGCTAGGAATATTTTTCACATTTTAAAAGGTGTGCCAAAAACTCAAACAAACAAGAATATATGAAAAAGACCACCTGTGGCCCTCAAAGCCCCAAATATTCACTCTCTGGTCCCTTATAAAAAAAATTACCAATTCTTGCTTTAGCTAAAGTTCTCAATTTTGTTAATCTTTTCAAAGAACCAACTTTTAATTTCACTGATTTTCCTCGGCATTTCCTTGTTTTGTATTTCATGGATTTCTACTCTGATCTTTATTACATCCTGCCTTCTACTTGGTTTGGGTTTAGTCTGTTCTTTTTCTACTTCCTTATAGTGGAAGCTTAGGTCATGGGTTCGTATTCTTTACTCTTTCATTTTTTAAAAAAAAATTATTTACTTATTTTGAGAGACAGTGAGTGCATGCATGAGCAGGAGGGGCAGAAAGAGAAGGAGAGAGAGAATCCCAAGCAGGCTCTGTGCTGTCAGCCTACAAAGCCCAACATGGGGCTCAATCCCACGATCCATGAGATCATGATCTGAGCTGAGATGAAGTCAGATGCTCAACTGACTGAGCCACCCAGGTGCCCCATCTTAACTCTTTTCTAATACAGGTATTTACAGCTATAAATTCTCTCTCTAACCTCTGCTTTAACTAGGTCCCTTTAATTTTTTATAATTATCAAAGATCTATTTTTTTGAGCAATAATTAAAAACATAATTTATAGGGGCGCCTGGGTGGCGCAGTCGGTTAAGCGTCCGACTTCAGCCAGGTCACGATCTCGCGGTCCGTGAGTTTGAGCCCCGCGTCAGGCTCTGGGCTGATGGCTCGGAGCCTGGAGCCTGTTTCCGATTCTGTGTCTCCCTCTGTCTCTGCCCCTCCCCCGTTCATGCTCTGTCTCTCTCTGTCCCAAAAATAAATAAACGTTGAAAAAAAAAAAAAATTAAAAAAAAAAAAAAAAAAAAAAAAAACACATAATTTATAGAATTTATAAAAAAACAAGTAGCAAATGATTATTACAAAAGTGATACCTTTGAATATAACTTTCAAAATTTTACTTTGTCACAATTTTTTTTTTTTTTTTTTTTTTTTGAGAGAAAGAGAGAGAGCGTGATTGGGGTCGGGGCAGAAAGAGAGGGAGACACAGAATCTGAAGCAGGCTCCAGGCTCTGAGCTGTCAGCACAGAGCCTGATACGGGCCTCGAACTCACGAACCATGAAATCATGACCTGAGCTGAAGTCAGACGCTTAACAAACTGAGCTACCCAGGTGCCCTTTGTCACAACTTCTTAAGAGGCATACCCTGCATATGCTTAAAAATTTTTGAGGTGAAATTCACATAACATAAAATTAACCATTTTAAAGTGAGCAATACCAGTGTTATTTAGTGTCTTCACAATGTTGTGCAACCATCACCTCTAAGTCTAAAACATTTCATTACTCTAAATTTAGAGACACCCTGTATCCATGAAACAATCATTCCCTACACCTTCCCTACTCCCAGCCTTGGCAACCACCAGGCTATTTTCTCTTTCTATGGATTTACCAATTCTGGATATTTCATATATATAGCATCATTCAATAAATGACCTTAGTATCTGATTTCTTTCTTCGCATGTTTTTGAGGTTTTTACCCATATTGTAGCATGCATCAGTACTTCATTCCTTTTTATGGGTGAACAACATTCCATTGTATGTATATATTACAACTTGTTTATCCATTCATCCGTTGATGGATGTTTGGGTTCTTTCCACCTTTTGGTTACTGTGCTGCTATCAACCTTTGTATATAAGGATTTGCTCTAGCACCTGTTTTAGTTCTTTTATATGTATTCCTAGAAGTGGTATTAGTGGGTCATATATATTTCTACATTTAACTTTTTGAGGAACCATCAAACTGTTTTCCACAATGGCTATACCACTTTACATTCCCAGCAGCAATGTACTTTCTTCATAATTCAACTTTCTTCATAATTCAACTTTCTTCATATTCTCAATAATATTTCTTATTTTCTGTGATTTTTATTTTTTAAAATATCCACTCTCATGGGCATAAAAGTGGCATTTCACTGTGATTTTGATGTACATTTCCCTAATGAGTAGTAACGTTAAACATCATTTTGTATGCTTATTTCACTTGTCTATATTCTTTGGAGAAAAGTCTGTTTAAGTCCTTTGCACATTTTTTAAAATGGGCTTTTTGTTGCTAAGCTAATAAGAGTTCTTTCTGTATTCTGGATACTAAACCCTTAATAGACACATAATTTATAATTATTTTCTCCCATTATGTAGTTTGTCTTTTATGTTTTGATAATTTCCTTAAATGTACAAAAAGATTAAATTTTGGTGAAGTCAAATTCATCTTTTTTCTTTTGTGGCTCATGCTCTTGGTGTCATACCTAGGAATCTATTGCTAAATCTAAGATCATGTAAGTTTACCTCTATGATTTTCTTCTAAGAGTTTTCTAGCTTCAGTTCTTATATTTAGGT